ACATGCTAGGGAGCAAGAAAGATACAAAACCGAATCATTTCACAGCCAGATGGAGAGCAAGGAGAGAGGTTTGTAAAGCTGTTGCTGTTGGAATTTTTTCTTGTAATGGGCTGACGCCTACTTTCGTGTGTGTATGTGTGTTTTCCTCTCTTCTACTCCTAAGTTCTTTGAATAAGTTATGGGAGCTATGACTTCTTTTCTAAGTTCTCATCTCCATGGTAACCTTCGTCCATCCCACATGGGCTTCCAGAATCCCATTCTCATCATTTGATCTCTGGATACATTGCAGTGGGCAAAAATGACGCTTAAGACTGTGGCATCTTGTCTTAAACATATTACAGCTCTGCTCTGATCGGCTTGAATTATTTAATGATTAGAATCATAACCTCCCACGATCTGAGCACTTTACTTCTGTTAATTCAACCAAAAACTAAAGGAGTCTTTTAGCAGGTCCATCACTTTGTGGCCAGGATGTCCTTGAGATCAACTAGAATTCTGAGCCTATGCCACAGAAAATTCCAGACAAGTCAGATTTTCCTCACCATTGAAACCTTGAACCACAAGGAATGCATATTTTCTGTGTCGTTATCCGTGTCAATGAGAAAACGTATTGAGCAGTACAGAAATGGGGGCAGATGCTGAGGCACCAGGCAGAGGCTTCCTTGCATGGTCACAACACTTCATTAATCAATCTGGTTATTTGACCAGTGACAAGTCCACTTCATTGGTTCACATTTCTCCGTTTTGTCCCAAACACAGTGTGAGATTTTGTCAGATGTCCTATACAATTGTGATGCACTGTGTATGGTAGTGAGTCAGAGCCAGGGGAAACTCCTAGGACATTTCCAAGGGTACCCATCACCCCAGAGATCCTGGTCTACCCGCCCTGTGGAGACGCACAGGGGCGGGGCCTAGTGGAGAAGCAGCGAATTGCTGAGCCAGGAGGGATGTCGCTGAGGACTGCTGGCGTCCTGAATGATGAGGAGGCAGCTTAACAGGTGGAGAACTGCTGGTCCACAGTGTCTCCTGAAGAAGCTCAATCATTTGGCAGGATTTGCCTCTTGTGAACCTATATTGGGACCTGACAATCAGCATTCTTTTCCAAGGGCTTACAAGCCATCTGTTAAGAAATCCTTTCTAGAATTTGGCAGGGACTCCAGCCCAGCCTAGCAGTCTGTGCTTTACTGGGTCTGTTCTTCGAAAAGCAGAATATCGGCACTTCTCTTGCTGTCCATGCTGTCTCAGGACCACCCCACTGGCTTAGGACCCTCATCTGGCGTTCCTTTAGTCCTGGACGTGACCCTCTGGGACTGGGGACCAGAACTCAAGCACGGCAGTGTGACGTGTCTCTGCTGGGCTCTGGTTTCCTCTCGTAGTGTTGATCTGGTCCTTCCCAGGTCGCCTGGATTCAATTTCTGTCTCTGCTTCCCCCTGTGTAACCCTTGGGCACGTTTCTTACACAGAAAGTGGAAGAATCGTAGTTCTGGCCTCCTGGGGTTTTGTGAAGCTAAGTCAGTTAGTACGCACGAAGCCCTTAGAACAGTGCCCGGCACGAGCGAGCTCTCGAGGCGGATGTGTAGGTGCTATTACTGCTGCTGCCGTCCTCGCTGGGGAGGGCGGAGGCAAATTGGAAATTGCGCGGCTTTGCCTGCCAGCTCTTGTCTAGTGGCTTCGCAACCTCTTTCCCAACCAGCAGATTTTGTCGTTTTTTCTCCTTGCTACGAACATGGATTAAAAAGCCCTTTTTGGCTGCCTTTAGCTCTGTCTGAACTTCTTTCTAATATTCATCTTTGGATATAGGCCTTTCTTCCCTTCTTTTGTACACTTTCCTGTAAAGTCTGAGCGCATCAGAGAGCCACGGTGCAGCCGCTGGGGTCTTTTCTTCCTTATGGGGACAATTCATTTTCTAAAAATCTAGTCTCTTTCTTTGAGTTTCCTGTTGCTCTCGGGACACTGGGCAGCATGGTCACGGTAGATGAGTCTGGGCGCTGAAGCCAGAAGGTGGGGGATCAAATCGGACCTGTGTCTTTCTGGCTGCGTGATGGTGGGATAGTTGTTAATTCTCTCGGCCGTTTATACTTCTTGGTGTGTCCAGGAGAATTAAATGCGATACTGCCTATAAAGCTACGTGTCAAACACGCAGTAAGCTGGCAGCAACGTTGGCTAGCGATTGCTGCTACTAATATCTGGCTGCAGACTCCCCCTGACCTTTTTCTCTAAAATTTTGGAAATCTGTCTTCTTAAAGACTGAATTGTATATCTAACCTTCCTCTTCCGTTTCCTTCCCCAGGATGGCGGACAAGATAGTGGTCTTATTCTGAACATTACTACTACTATGACTATTACTAACAATAATAATAATAATTTGTATTCCTCGAACACTATGTGCCCACACTATTTGGAGAGTTCCCATGCTGTGTCTCTTTCAGTCCTCATGATGGCCCTAAGAGGAAGTTGGCATTGTTACCTGCATTTATCTGTATCCAAGTTTCCCAATGCTTCCATATTATTAGTATTTATAAACAGAGTGTCTCCAGGTTCTCAGTCACCAAATAAAAGCAGTGTGAATTCCCATCTTGAGTGACTTCAGGAGCAGAGCCCCAGTCCCTCCTGTGTCCTCCCAGGGTTTCTGAGACCCCCAGGGAGGGGCGCCATTGATGCCAACATCTCCCCCCACCTCACAAACTGCATTTCCCTTCACCCTATGCCTGTGCGAGCCTCATAGCTGGTAGCTTTTCGCCTTTACACATTTTATCAAAGTCAAGACCACATAATAAACTCACAAGTGAAGAAAAACACTTATTTTCAAAAGGTCAACCTCACAAGCTATCAAAGAAATGCAAATTAAAACAGGTTCCACTTTTTACCTATAAAATTGGCAAAGGTGAAAATAATTACATATTCAATAATTGGCAAAAGTGTGGTCAAAAGGGCACAGTCATCCTCCACTGATGAGAGGGTAAATATTTATATGCAATGTATAAAGATTATAATTTACTCCTTAAACCAGTAATTCAACCCCTAGGAAAATATGCTAAGGAAATCATTGAACTTGCACAAATATATTTACGTACAAAAATATCCATTGCTACATTATTTTAATATTGAAAAATGGGAAACAACCTAAATGTCCAACAGAAAATTGGTTAAATAAATTATGGTACAGCCAAATGAAAAATATTTTACTACCATGGGAACTAAGCAAGCTATAACGTTGAGTGGAAAGCATTAAGAAACAAAAGCATACACTAGATTGATCATAAATATTATTTTGAATTGAAATAAAACTGAGAGGCCAAATGTGTCTGGTTAGCTTTGGGATTACAGGTAATTTTATTTCCCTCTTTATCATTTTCTCTACTTTCCAAATTTTCTATTACTTTTATAATTAGAAAAATGGATAGATGTATTAAATTCATATATCTATATCTGTACCTCTCTATGTAAGTATATATGCATATACCTGAGCTCAGTTCTAATGCTGTTTTCTCTACATCCTGAGAAACGAAGCTGCTCTCCAGACAAGGCAAGCACACGCCGGGTAAGGGAAGTTCCCTGGCTCCACCCTCAGTCTCGTGGACTCGATCTGGTGAACGAATGCCTTCCTTACATGTTCTTCTCCCCCACCCCTTTCCATCCAGAGACTCATCAACTCAGGTCAGAGCTGGAAGAAACCCCAACGATGGATAAAGGTTCTTGCCCTCTCCTGCCCTGTGGACCCTTTGGCTAACTGGTGAAGCCTGTGGGATCCCTTCTCAGAATAACCATTTTAAATGCATGAAATAAAACACACAGGTTTTCAAAAGGAACCTTGCATTCCTTGAGTGGTAAGATTCTAGGCCATGTCCCTCATGTTTAACGCAAAGTGAGGCCGGCTGAGAAGGGAACTCATATGCGATCAGACCTCCCAGCCCTCTGGCCCCTATCTACCACTCAGAGCTCCTCCCTCCCTCTGAATGACGTCTATGCAATTCTACTGTAGCTTTTCAGTCTTAACTTCCCTTTCTACCAGGACTAGGAAATGGCCCTGTGATCCCCAGAGCAAATTTACCAGGTCAACAGCATTGTCTGCATTTCCAGGTGAGGAGACTGACTCCCAGAGAGGTCAGTACAGGTAGGTAGGATGACCCCACCTCTAATATCCGGGGGCTCACAGGACCTGGTCTGGCTAATCAGCTCATCCAGGACTTCTGTGGGACCAACTGGGAAAGGAACAAAGGGACACTCTTCTCCCTCTAGGGCTGCTCAGAGGAAAGAGGCTGCCTGGTGGTGAAACCAAACCAGAAGAAAATGGAACTGAGGGAAGGTAAAAAACTGAGAAAATAGGATATTTGTGGGGCCTTTGATCTAGCTGAGCCTGAAGCAGGCTCAATATGTCGGCTTCAATTACATGAGCCCACATATTACCTCTCCCTTTTTCTTTTTAAGCCAGTTTGAATTGGGTTCAATTACCTGCAACCAAGTGTCCAGACTAAGTCACGAATGAATTACCCCCATTTTACAGATGAGAAAAATGAGGCAGGCCAGGAGAATTAAACGGCTAGCAAATGGCAGAGCCGTGATCTGAACTCTACTCTTTCTAACCTCAGTCTTAACCCCGACTGCATGTGAGTCCAGGTGGAGGCCAGATTCATTCCTCCTTGGAGGAGTCAGATCTTTCAGCAAAGAGGGCTGCTCGTTGTTCTTGCAAGTCCTAGGGCTCAAAACAGAAAGTTCGGAGGCTCATAGCCACATGACCACCTACCACAGACACGCCCCTGGGGGGCAGGGTCCCCCCACCCATGCATCTGTTCAGGCTGCCCATGTGGGTTCCTTTCTTCTTAAATTTGTGGTTGATGTTCTTTCTGTCGCCTCTTACCCGCATAAATGGCCCACTTGGCCCCGGGATCCCCACAGGCCCCTTTGGGGAGGACGGGCATAGGTGGGAACAGCTCATAGCCCTCCCCATCACCTCCTCCTTCCCCAGCCAGCCACCTGCTGTTTTTGCCTCAGCCCCCGGCTCACCTGTAAATCAGTACCTCATCGTCGGAGCAGTTGTACTGTAGCTGGTACATCTTCACCCGGGGCGCTGACTTGCTGACCGACCACTTGACCAGGGCGGAGGTCGTGGTCACGTCGGACACCAGCACAGCCCGCTCTGGGGGGCTTTTGGGAGGCTCCCCGCCCCCACTGCCTCCACCTCCACGGCTGGTCTTGCTGGAGCCGGTGATGTCTGAGAGGCGGGACTTGGGGGGTGCGGTCCGGCTGGTGCTGTTGCTGAGGTGGGGCAGCTGGATGATGGAGACCTCCACCATGGCTGTGGCCTCCCCGGCGGCGTTGGCGGCGATGCAGGTGAAGGCACCGCTGTCCTGAGACGTGGTGATGAGGATATCCAGGGTGCCGTTCTCGTACACGGCGGTCCTTGAGGAGTTCCCCACCAGGCGGTCATCGGGCGCCACCCAGTGGATGAGGGGGCTGGGGTCCCCGATGGCCTTGCACTTGAGTGCGGCCGCCTGGCCCTCCAGAACCAGCAGCTTGTGCGTGTGCTGGGTGATGAGAGGCGGCTCGCACACAAACTCCTCCTCACGCACGTGCCAGAAGTAGCGGCCCTTGAGGCCCCCTGGGGAGCCACAGGTCTCCAGGTCATCGTCCCGCTCCAGCCTCCGCAGCCAGAGAAGCTCACAGTTGCAGTGCAGCGGGTTGCCCCCAAAACTAAAGGACAAGGGTGGGGCAAAGGGCGTGGCGGTCAGAGTAGAGGCCTGGGAGCGGGCAAAGATGGGGTCTGGGGGCAGCTTCTGCAGCCGGTTGGAGGTGAGGTCCAGGCGGGCCAGTTTCTGCAGGTCGGCAAAGGTGCCCTCAGCGATGTGGTCCAGCAGGTTGTGGTCCAGGCTCAGCTGGTGGAGGTTGACCATGCGCCGCACAGAGCCCCAGGGCAGGCCGTGGAGGTTGTTGTAGGAGAGGTCCAGGTCCTCCAGCGTCAGCAGGAAGTCCTCGAAGGCCTCGTCGGCGATGCTGCCCAGCTGGTTGTTATTTACGATGAGGTGCTGCAGGTTGACCAGGCCCCGCAGGGTGTCCTCCCCGAGGCCGGGCAGCCGGTTGCTGTCGAGGTGCAGGGAGCGGAGGCTCTCGAGGTCCAGGAAGGAGAAGGGCTGGATGTGGCTGATGGTGTTCCTGGACAGAGTCAGGTCCACCAGCCCCGTCATGTTGGCGAAGTCCTGGCGGCCGATGTGGATGATGAAGTTGCCCCCCAGACGCAGCTCCACCGTCCTCCGGTCGATGTCAGGGGGCACGAAGAGCAGCCCCTTGGAGGGGCACAGGGTCCCCAGTGACTCAGACAGGTTCTGGCAGACACAGTACTTGGGGCAGGCGTCAACCACAGCAAATGCCATGCCAAACGCCAGCAGGCCACCAAGCAGGGTCTCCATGGTCTGGTCACTCAGGCCGTGGTGCCTGGAAGGGAGGGACACAACGTCAGGGTTGGGAGGCGACATCCTAACACCCTCGCCCAGAGGTCCCTCCCTCACACTAACCCCCCACCTCGGGGAGCAGCAGAGTGGCATCTGCTGGTGCGAGGTGTAATCTCTTCTACCAAGCCCTCTAACACAGTTCTACTTTTTCCCTTAGCTCTCATCACCTTCTGACAGACTATTCAATTTGCTTATTAAGTATGTTATGGAATATTTCCTATCTCCCCCACCAGAATGTCAGCTCCAGTAGGACAGGTCCTTTTGTCTGTTTTGTTAATTGCTGTATCCCCTGCATCTAGTGCAGTGCCTGGAACACAGGTGCTCAATAAACATTTGTTGGTTGGATGGAGGGGTGGATGGATGGAGGGATGGATGGAGGGATGGAGGGATGGATAGATAATACCATACCAGCGCTTCATCCAATAATCATTGGATTTGAAACAGTGCCTTATGGCTGTATTTTGAAGCAATTTTACCTTCTTAATTGGTTTAGGCTCTGCATGAAATTAAACTGGACCAGCATTCCTTAAGAGCAAAGATGTGCACAAGGAGAGAGCTGGTCCTGAGAGACACCAGGGTTGGTAAGGAACTGGTCTGGATAAATTCTTCACCATGGAGAATCCACATAGCAGGATGAATCTTTGGGAGTTCAGGGAAGTGAAGAAGGGGGTGGGGTGGAAGCAAAGGCGTGAACTTCTTCTGAGTATGTGCGGGGTCCTCTTCCTGGACCTTCATACGCATCATCTCACCCCGGCTTCAGGAACCCCCTTCACAAGGGAGGGCTTATCTTTGTGCACAGAGGAGGACTTGTAAACACCTTATAGCCTCCTTCAAGTCTTCACTCAAAAGTCATCTTCTCAAGAAGGCCCCACCTGACTATGCAGACCCCTCTTCCCTGCTTTGTGTTTTCTCCTTGAAATGTATCACTATCTAAATTACTGTATATTTTACCTATTTGTCTTGTTTATTGTTTGTCTTCTGCACTGGCAATGAAGCCCCAAGGGGTTGGGACTTGTTTTTACTCACTGCTATATACTGAGGGCCTAAAGCAAACCTGGCACATAGTAGGTGCTTTTGCATGAATGAATATCTAGGGGAAGAAGGAACAGGACGTTGGCTCAGGTCTTTGTGCTTCCAAATCCTACTGTTTCTCACTATTCCATGTTGTGCTAACCATGGCTCTATTATGCTAAAAACATGAATTGAGTTGGACTTTTGCAAAACTGTGCACACTGGTTGTGTAGCATCACACAGGCCAGCAGTTCTCAAATTGCCTTCTAGGAGTGCTAATTAGGGTTCTGCAAGAAAGACTTCTAAGGCCAACGAGTCGAGGCAGCGCAGCCCACTCTTGCTCTCTCTTGCAAAAGCTCTGTATGCGTTTGCAAGTTCAGAAGGCTGAGAAATTCTGCTGCAGTAAAGAAACTGGATTAATGTTTAATTCTGTATTGCTCCCTTTTTTTTTTTTAACTAAAGACATTCCTTTTTTTGAACAACAGCTATATCTTGAGGAAGGAAAGCTCCCTAATTCCCAATGAGGAGCACAGATGCAGACAAAACAACTAACTGATTAAAAAAAAAAGATATATAGTAAATTTAAAAATCTATTCCAATCAGATATTACTTTATTGTGAAGATTTCAATTCCATTATTGCATCTCTTTGAGGATAAATCTCCCACCTAAGACCCTTCAGGGCCAGAGGCTTACCCTATATTTCACCTGGAGAGAGTATTTCTCTTGAGCAGCACTGTCCAGCAGGAATAAAATACTAGCCATGAATGTAATTTTACATTTTTTAGTGGCCATATTTTTTAAAAGTAAAAAGAAACAGGTGAAATCAATTTTGATAATATATTTTATTTAACCCACTATATCCAAAATATTATTTCAACATGTAATCAATACAATTATTGAGATGTTTAACATTCTTTTATTTGTACTAAGTCTTCAAAATTGATGTATATTGAACACTTAGAGCACATTTCAAGCGCTCACTAGCCAATAGCCTACATATTGGACACTATAGCCCAAGGGCCAAATCCAGCCAGCTACCTGCTTTCATAAATAAAGTTTTATTAGAACGTGGCCATGCTCATTTGTTTACAAATTGTCTGTGGCTTTTTTCCTGCTACAGGGACAGAGGAGAGTAGTTGCAGCTGATATAATGTGGCCAGCAAGGCCTAAAATATTTACTCTCTTGCCCTTTATAGAAAAAGTTTGCTGACCTCTGTTATAAAGGATTTTTTTCCTTTTCATCTTTATTATGGTCACCTTCATTAAAAGCCCTTGTCAACGTGCCTAATTCCACACAGTCTACTCTGGGCTCCCATGAGCAATTGCCTACCCTGCCAGTCTCTGCTGTCACCGACCTGTTCCCTGAGGGATACCAGCCCACCCTGACCCAGATCCCACCAGGCACATCCACCCTAGAGGCGTCCACATGTGGAAGCTTTCCACCTGCCAACTTCTCCATGCTCAAATGTGTTCTGGCTTTCTAGGTCCATGTTTAGCTGGGGCCTGATAAAACAAGCAGGAATCTTCTCCATCTGCATTAACCCTCTATTTTTTTTTGGTGAGGAAGATTCACTCTGAGCTAACATCTATTGCCAGTCTTCCTCTTTTTTTGCTTGAGGAAGATTAACCCTGAGCTAACATCCATGCCAGTCTTCCTCTATTTTGTATGTGGGTCGCCTGCCACAGCATGGCTGACGAGTGGTGTAGGTCTGTGCCTGGGATCTGAACCCGCAAACCCGGGCCACCAAAGCAGAGTGCACTGGACTTAACCACTATGCCACAGGGCCAGCCCCTGACGCTCTTATTTTTTAGGACAAGACCAAGTCTCTGCAAGAGCTGGTCCTGCCCACGACCCCACTTGCTCTCTTACCACTCTCTTCCTTTGCTCTTCATGTCCCAGCTACACTCAGTCTCTCCTGCTTATAAATGCCATGCCTGATCTTCCTCCAGGACTTCCTACACACTCCATTCTCTTCCAGGCTTCTCCCCCACCTCCACTCCTGCCTGGCAGAGCTCCTATCTACCCCTGGGTCTCAGCTTAAACACCACCTACTCCAGGAAGCCTCTCCAAAAACTAGACCAAATTAGGGCCTCCTGCTATTTGCCCCTTAGCACCCTGCACTTGCCCTACATATTGCTCATCACACTTTAACTATAATTCCTTAATTACTTACCTGTCTGTCTTCCTAGACGGTAAACTCCAAAAGGCAGGGAGCTTACCGGTCTTGTCCACCTATCACTGTATCCCCAGCCCCCAGCACAACACCTGACTCATAGTAAGTAAATTCCTAATAAATATCAATTGAATGAAGGAATGAATGAAATACAGTGCTGAGCAAAGTGAGTTTCTGGCATTGGCACTGAGGTTCTGAGTTCTGTATCAACACTGTCCAGGGTTCGTTTAGCTAATCAGCTGAGAAAATCATCTTTATGGAGTGGCCTGGTCACAGCAGAAGCTTCAGAAGCATCTTCTGCCAACCATCAGCTGTGCTTTCCGGCATGACTCAACACGGTCCTAGAGTCAGGGAGGCCATATTTCTCTGTGCCCTGTGTCTGCTCAAGTAGAGGTGAGTGGTACCCCCATACCCACTGAGGACACAGGGACAGCCACACCCAAGGATGTCCTTTGCTAGTTAAGCTGGATGTGGCTGTGTGTGTGCATGCATGTATGCGTGTGTGCGTGCGTGCGTGCGTGTGTGTGTGTGTGTATGGGTATAGAGGGGGTGGTGTTCTGAAAGCCTGTGGCCCCATGAGAAAGGCGTCCTCCGTATGAGCTCTTGTCAGTAAACACTGCAGTGTTCTAGGGATAAGAAGCACTTCCCAACATTTCCCATCATGGTACACACAGGAAATGATAACATTTGTCAGGTGCATCTGAGTCCAGGGCCAAGGCTGTTGGCACCCTGTGCTGGGTACCTCCCGTTTGTCCCTCCACATCCTCTCTCCACCATCCCCCACCCCGCTCTGTGTCCTGGGGTGCTGCCTGGGATGCATCAGCGAAAGATGGACAGACTGTCCCATCTGACAGTAACCTTTAAGCCTTTCCATCCTCGGCTCTGTCACCTGCCCTCTGGTCAACAGTGGCAGAGGTGGCAGCAAGCAGAGAGGACGCTGTAGAATGCACACCCTAAACAGGGCCCCTGCTTTCAAAGGGTTTTGTCCTTGTAAATTATGCTAAACAAACCACATTTTAAAAAAAGTTTGTTGAGGATTAACAAACATCTAATGAATTCAAATCTGTGACATAATAGAGCTGGGTAAATATATTTTAAGTAATCAGCATGGAAGATTACTGACAGAGAAGTGACTATTGAATCTTAATTAAAATTGTATTCTAAGAACTGTCACTTAATATATTGCTCTCACAGCCAAACAAAAAGTGGCTTAAGCCCCAAGTTGGGAGGGAGGCAAGGGGACTGGGTGGATACACGCATGTAATTAGTGCACACCCTGGGTGGGGGGCTCTCTTTTGAGCAGGGATTTGAACAAATGGTGGAAGGAGCAACCGAGGTCCCTCTAAGCATCCCGGAGCTGTGTAGGTGGTAGAGGTGAGCCAGGAGAGGTGGAGATCAGGAGGAGAGGGCTGGTATCAGGAACAAAGAAACAGATGAAAGCAGGCAGGAGGGGCGCCAGGATTATTTGTGGGCAAAGCTGAGAGAGGAGCGTGGTGATCAGAAGCGAGGCTGTGAAATGGATGCTGGTATCAAATGTCAGAATCAGCCTGCATAGGAGGAATCCATCTGCAGAGGAGCAAGGGCTTGTCTGCTCAGAATGTCTATGAGCCGGGATTGGGGGAGGGGGAAGGGGGAGTTGCCAGGAGAGGCAGAAGCGGAGGAGCTGGGAGAGGAAGAGAGACGCTCTGCCCTGGACCTGCCGTGCAGAGAGAATCAGCGCGTCTCGCGGAGTTTACCCAGGATAGAAACTGCGTCTCCTCCCGCTCAGTTTAGTTTCTGCGTGCAGT